TCCACCCTTTGCCCCGTCAAAGCATCGGCGCTTAAAATGTGTGGTGCACGCATAAACATAACATTACGGTATCAGATCGCGTTTAGTAGAATGACACTCAGTTAAGAAAATGGTTCAAGATATATTGTCTTATGTATAAAGTACAGAATTTACTAAAATAAAATTACTTTCCCATAATGCAAAAAGCAAGTCGGGGTCTGAAAGGCAAAGTCCTAGGACACTTCCACACAAAATTTGGTCAACCTGTACAATAAAATGCACTTTGAATTGTATGGTTTTATCCACTTTTTTATCCATGGTTTTAAAAATAATCCTACACCGGTTACTGGTAATATTGTTCAATATCTTGGACATCTCCATTTGTCATCTGGATGGCACTGAATCCAAATTGTAACAGAGGAAAGCTTCAGAGATTACTTTCTCCAAAAACTGGGCACAGAATTGATAAGACCTCAAATCCAGAGAGAACACATTTGCAAGGCACATTCAGTGGAACGTGGCGCTTCTTGTGGTGTGTATATGCTTTGAATTTCTGTTCAACCGGGGTCATAATATCATTTCAATATTACACTGTACATAAATGTTGCCATTTCAATTTGTTTATTTCAAAACAATAAACATCAATAGCTCTGGAAACCTTGTCTCATTTATATTTGCTCAGGATTAAAGATATATTTCACCTATGTCTTGATTATTATTGATTTCTACACAAAAAAAAATCATGTTATCACGATAATGTTTGTTGATGCATTATGGGAAAATCGAGTTAAGAACTATCAAACTTGGCTTAAAAAACATGGATTTCAAAGTGCATTTACTTCAAAATGGTAAAAGTTAAATTTTATCTGGAAATATCTTGCCATTCATAAGGCATAAGACTTGTTTATACATTACTGAAAAATTCAGAAAAATGGCCTGTCTAACTTGACTCAAGCAATTACGGATTTCAAAGTGCATTTGAAAATGGTACAATAGAGAGTTGACCAAATTTTGCCTGTAAGTTGCGTTGGATTTGGCCTTTCAAACGGTATATGACTTTTTGCATTATGGGAGTAAGAATTTCATTTAATTTTAGCACATCCTGTACTTCATATAGGCTATGACAGTAAATATTAAACTGTTTTCATATGCGCGATTTTCCTAAACGGGATTTGATACCGTAATGTTAACTCTGCACTATATGTTCATTGGCAATTTACACTACAAACTATATAGAAAAACAAACGCAAACAAACTGCACTTTAGAAATTACAACATTCGCAAGACAGAAGTTTTAGAGAACTGAAACCTTATTAGCTGGCGAGTCAGCTAAAATTGGATAAACTGGAGAGTTTCCGCCGCCTCTTATGGACAGAACCGGAGGAATGGCAAGAGTAACTAGCGAGGATAACGAGCTATAGCTACATTTAGCGGACCTGCATTACTGTACCTCGGCGACTGGCTAACGCAAACATACCCAAGCTAGCTAATGCTCAGCGCGGGTTCCGAATCATTAGCTTAGCTACCATCGGCAAACGGCTAGAAAACAACCCACACAGCGTTACTGAACGTTTAACTAGTCAACTACGCGGCATGAGTAACAAACTTAGCAGACCGGTCTGCAGCAAGCCGGAATAAACAGAGATACATTGCAACACGGCGATGTTTCCCCACCAAATTCAGTAAGATACCAAACAAATATTTGTGTAATTTAGGTAGGGGGAGATGTATTACCAGTACAGGGAACACACAGTAAGCACACAGCTCCGTTTAATTTAGCCTGTTAGCGACGCATAGTAACCAGGAGCTCAGCTGTCGTCCGGGTTCATCCAAAATGCGGTGACACAAGAAGCGAAACCGCGGATATAAGATGGGCTTACCACGGTGACAAACACCCGAGTCCTCTCACCAGCCGCCGCATGTGAAATAACAACTATTATCAATAATTTCTGCAAAAACACAAGAGCCGTAGGGGAGGCACGGAGAGACGATATCTTCACCTCCATCACGGCACAAAGCCGGAAGAAAAGAGGACAGGCTGAGTGAGCAGTACAGCCTGCGAACCGGTTAATAATGAAACCGACGTGACCCAGTAAAACACATAAACTCACAGGGCATCTACTTGATAATGTGGCTCGAAAAACTAACAACGGTTGAGTATGAGTTAAGCAACGCATCCTGGATCAGTTCAATCATTTAATATTTCTCAAACAAGAAATCTATGCATGATTGTCAAAATGTAATTATATGCTCTTTATAAACAGGTGCTAAATTTAATTTATTAAGTAATATATGTCGCTTAGTTCCATTTTTTGAATAAATAATTCAAGTTTGTGACTTTTTGTCTTTGCTTTTCTATTGCCAACTTTCCGATCTAACTCCCGTTATAATGTGACACACGATAACTGCAAATACAATAAACCGCAAATGACAATAAAGATAATAAAAGTCCATTGAGAAGCAATGCGTAACACATCGGCACATATCTTCTGCACAGACATTTTTATTGTATTGTCATATTTTTTGACTGACTCATTTTATCAATTGCAATTGTAGTTACCGGCTCCCAAAGGAAAAATAAACACACGTTCGGTCTTTTGTGTTATTGCAAAAGTGTTATGACTTAAAAAAGCACCCAGTGAGACTGCTTGTCAATGAACTTTTAAAATTAATTAGAGCTTTATAAGAGCATCTGCTAAATATAGCGCATTAATGCCGTTAACCAACTGAATTAACTAACGGGGGATGAGGGCAAAAATCAGCCTTCCGGAGCTAGTGAGTTACCAAAATACTGGATTAGATAACTGGTTGGTTTTATAGTTTGTTTTTTTTTTTTGCACTGGTGAGCTGCCACAGAGAAACGTTAAGGCCGGAAACACTTCATTCAGCCACACAATATCCAGACACTAGCATCTTATTTAGTTTATTAATGACGGTGATAATCGTTATAAATATTTGGGCAGAGAATGTTTAAAAGACAGGAAGAATTACAGTTGGTAACCACATTTCCAGTAGTTGTAGTTTCTCAGTGGGGCATTTCCACGTACACAGGATTAGATCTAGGGTAAAATGGGTCCGGTAACGTTTTAGGATCGGGTGTAAACACCGTAGGCTATTTTGTGACCGTCGTGATACGTGGCTGCAGGGGCGCCGTTTCGTGCGTTACTGGGAATGAACGCAATTAAGGTACCTGTTCACGTGCAGGCGCATTGTACGTAGCGTAGGGCCTAATTATTTTAACTTTTTCATTTAACGTACCATAATTATTTAAAAAAATTTCAAGACAGCTGTGTTTCCGCTTTCTCTACCATCCACTTATTTGTAATTATTAGTGTTGTCTCAGTAGTTATTATTGGAAATATGTCACTATAGTTCATTTTTAGTTTAAGTTGCATTTTAAGTCTGGATGATTAATTTGTCTCAGCTGTGAGTCGGGGAGAAATTGGAGATTGTAACCTCTTTTGATTTAGTCCACTTATCGCTATAATTTTTTCAAAGTAAACATAAAAAGCTAAAACAAATGGAAGACATATTGAGTAATATGTTTTTCTTCTTTACTTCATTAAGTTTTTAATAATTATAATACACTAAACTATAAAATACACGGGAATGCTTGTGTATGTTGAACACACCCTTTTTTTAATTTGGAACCTATGCTGATGGGCAGGTGTCACACCCTGCCCGGCATTCCTCCTGTTTCTTTCCCCATCGTGCCACACCTGTTGTGCTAATAAACAGTATAAAACTATAGCTTTAACTTTCAGTTGACAAAGGGCACAGCCATGTTGAATTGTGAGGTTGGGGTTGTGCAGATTCCTCTAACTTCACGAGTCGGAATTCCGACTTCAGGGGGCGCTCTGGTTGAAATTTCAAACAAGGAATTTGAAATTCATGAGTTTTGAGTTCAAACAAGAACAAGGTGGGTCGAAGAACCTCGAGGCGGGACCAATCAATTAGATGTCTTGGTCCCGCCTCCTCTAGTTGCTGGAACCTACCTCCTTTGTAATCTGATTGGTTATCTCTCTGAACCAATCATTTTTTTGTTCTGCCCTCAGAACATTTTTGTCTATAAAACTCCTACAAGTTAGTCCCGCATGGTAAGCGCAAAGCTAATTCCGATATTATAGCTAGCCACAATGCTAGTTTGACATTATATGTGGTGATTCTTTTGATTTGTTTTACATATAAATTGGGTAAAACAGAACAAGAAAGTTGTGTTGTATTTTACTAAGAATATAGGTCCATACTTATCTTACTGTGAATGTACTTTATTTTATGTGGCGCATACGAAAGATTACTTTAATGTATTGAAGCTGTGCAACACACTGTTCTACGTATAAAACATCATAACATGAGCCAGTTGGTTAAATTAAAAGGAGCTAAGAATGGTACTAAAACTACAATCAGGAGATTAGTTAATGTAAATTGATTACAGTGCAAAGGGTATTTCTATTTAAATTAATGTATTTTATTTCTAATTAATATTGTGAAACACAATGTATTGTACACATATTTGGCCTGTTACATGCTACATACGGTCGGTCAAGTTTTTGCGTGACCTGGAACTAGACTTCGAAATGTTGGTACACGAAGCTCCAGGAATTGAAGCTATACAGCTGCATGCAGAAAACTCCTCTTTTGGGACTTAATTTGGATTTCATCATATACATACCCCAACCCATTTTACAGTGCGTTAGGAATGCCTTTATCATTGAGGTGGTGAGGACTTTGACTTGACCTCAGTTATTGCAACAGAGGACTTGAGTGGACTTTTGAAACAATTTCAAGGGATCTGGTGATATAGGTATATATGTTTTCTTTCCCACTACTCAGGTAGTCAGTTTGTAATTTATTTTGCTATACACTAATTGCAGTAAATTAGATTCTTTACCTAATTACTATTTTAACTGTAGTGTGTTATTCTTGTCAGTAAATGTAATGCATCACAATACACAGTATCGTACATCACAAAATTGGCTAAATAAACAGCTGTGCCAGTAGCAGAATATAAGGTAAGATAATTGAAAAGAATAACTCCATCATTTATTTTTTGGAAATCTGCATTTACATTTATGAATATATCCACCGTTAATGGTTCTATGTACCTTTCATGCATCCTCTTTGAAATAAATAAAAAATAAAAGAAAAGCACGCAATTGTGGAACATTGTAATATTCTTGTAGCTACCTTTATAATTTGCAAATGTTAAAAGAATATGCAGAAGGGTTTACTTCCAATCATAGTTCCTGAGACAACACTAAGGAATACAAATAAGAGGACAGAACAGAAAGCGGAAACGCTGCTACTTTGAAAAAGTAGAAAATATGTAAAATGAAAACGTTAAACTAATTACGGTACGTGCAATGCGCAGAGGGCTCATGCAGATGAGCAAGAACCATGCATTCATTCCCAATAATGTGAAACAGCGCCCCTAGAGTCACATATTATGATGGTCACAAAATACGGTGTAACCCTGGCAATGGGTGAGAGGAGGCCACCAACTGCCAAAAGGACGTCACACACCTGAGGAATGCATCTAGATGGGTTTGTTGCGCATATAGGGTGAGTCTTTACAGGCGTGTAGCCAGCCAGCCAAGAAGATGAACACACAATTTGTTAAACAGAAAACAGGCTTGAACAAGGCAAAGAAAAACACAAAGGAAAAGAGAGTCTGGATTGTGGACAGGTTAAAGAACAGAAACCAAAACCAGTTTCCCTAAAAGGTAAGCAATTTGACCTCTTACTGAAAACAAAACAAATAAAATCTACCCACTCCAAGATTGCCTGACCAATAACAAAAATTACAAGGTTTAGCACCTACCCCTTACCTAGGGTGTCTGGACATTGCGATTTAGATGTGGTGGTTTGAATCGATGTACTTCCCCGTCCAGACCCCGAAACTTACCAGAGGCTGCTAATCACCATGGTCACTTACAGCATATTTAAATGCTTATTTACACAAACAGGCAAAGTTGTAACGCTGACCAATGCAGCAGCATGAAATAATTGTTTACAGGCAAAGTGTGCTGACCCATGAGTGGTAAGTCTGTCAATCATTTCCTTTACCGCTTGGCCCCTTAGGTGAACATAATTATGGCAAAACCATCTCTACAAGATTTTCTACACACTGTATGTGGCCATGAACTCAGAGCGAACTCGGAACTTGGGCGATTGTCTTCTATTCAAAGACGCTACAGTAATAAGCCTTGGTCGTTTCAGTTAGCTACACACTACTTAGCTACACAGCTTATTATATTTTATAACCTACAACAAAGTGATAAGCTACATAGCTAATTGGGGCGTGATAAGCTTCAGAGTTTATTAGGGTACAGATACATGCTCATATGATTACATCGTGCAACTGTAATTGGCCTGCATTCTCTTAAAGGTATCAAGGTTACATTGTCTTCTGCAGGTTACATCTTTTTGGTATTATTCTAAAGATTACATTCTTTAGCGTTATGTAGTTTTATATTTCATATAATATTCCATAGTGAAGTAACAGTATGAGTGAGTGAGTGCAGCATCTCAACGCACACAACAACTAAAACACTGCACGCCATTGGGAGCAAACACATCTTTCAATTTTGTGGCTCCTCCCCCGCGGCCAGCTGATTGGCTGGCAATGTTCCGGAGCATAATGACGTCTCCCGCCCAGCATCCTTTGATCTGCACACACCAAAAAGAAGCAACACAAGTAGAGCACACCTACTGGCTCTTGCATGTAACAGTAGTATAGTTGGTATTTTTTTTTTTTGCCATGGCGGGTCATCACGGAAAAAAACTCAGAGTGGAAACACTGCAATTAGCCATATAACATCCAGATACTGGTATGTTTAGTGATGACTGTTCATAGACAGCTGGGGCAGAAACTATGTTTAAAAGACAGAAAAGATTATAGTTGGTGATTACATTTCCAGTAGGTGTAGTTTTTGAGTGTGGGGCATCTTGCAAAAAAAACACACACACACACACACACACACACACACACCACGCAGCATGAAGAGATTGGAAAACAAATTGAGACAATATGTTCTTGGATCATGCTGATTTTAGGATAAAAATATAGTATTCAAATGTACCCGTGTTCTTGTCACACTGCTCCTTCCAATTCAAAGGGATGACAGGTTTAGTGTGGCAGATAAAGTCCTCCAGGGGGCAGTAATGCTCACATCCCGGCAGGACCAGAGGGTAAGGCTCTGTGCTGGTGTCATTCCAGTAGAACATGGCAATGGAGAAAGACCTGAAGGCACAAAAATACACAGCTGGTGTCTATAGTCACAGAAGAGACCTAAATGAACTTCTCAATGGTGGATATTTCAGAATAGCTACACTTGGTGACAGTAATTCTGATGAAACCCTCGATTTTACAACATTTCTAAGGCTAAACTAAGACTAAAACAGAATGTTAGCTACTTTGCTATTAGTTTCATTACTTCTTTACCCATTGCTCCTACAATGCTAGGTATGTACAATAGGCTCTCAGTATATCTAAGGGTGTTTCAATTCAGCTGAATATTTATGTAATAACACAGAAAACAAAGAACCAACTGCTGGTTCATATACTTAAAAGCTTCAGGGAACTGCTTGAATTTAAGGAAATACTATTAGGAATAATGGACTGTCCTACCCATTGTCTTCTTGAAACAACTCAAAAATGTGGCAGGAAGCGTAGGGTGGCTCTTTTCCATTGAACACATTTAAGGCTGATTGTAGTGCCACGATGGTTGTATCATGCTGAAAAACACACATTCACACAATCAGGAAAACACCCGGATCAGCTTGCGTGGGGTGAACTGTTGCTCATTTCACAGTTCAAATGGGAATTTAACGGAAATAAAGTTTGTTTTTCCAAATGGAAATCTGTGGGAACTATGTTCTTTACAAGTCAGTGATTCAGAATCAAAACTATTTCATGTCTGCAATTTGCTAAACATTAGACGACAAAAACCTCTACGTTTATAATAATTTCACCGACATTTTCTTGTTTTCAAATACTGCGATGGACATACAACATAGCTAATTGCACTTTTGACATTTTAATTCCACTTCAAAGGACAAGGTCACCTTCTATGGAAGCAGATTTGTGCCAATATTATCAAGCAAAACTTTTTGGACATCATACAAAAACAAGGCTTCGAGAAGAAAAAAAGCTGAAGCAAAAGAAATGTCATCTCAAAAGTAAAATTTATAACGTGCAAACACATGATTGGTCTTTTGATGATGTTTTCCTTTGTTTACACTGCCAGGTTTCTCGCTTGCGCTCCCTGACTTTTTGTTTATAGTTCTGACACAAATCTCTTGCATGGGTGGGTTTTTTCAGGGATGCGTCCCCATTAGCTAATAAGTTTTTGACTGACAGGTCAGTGCCACAGACATTTTTAACTGGACATTCACTACCCACTAACTAATTTTTACTGGATCCGACAACAAGATTAACAAAGTGAAGTGCTGAAAAAAGCACTGTGCTCTCCTTAACTGGAAATAAAAGTGGAAAATAAGGTTAACGTTAGCAAGTTAGCTAACGCTAATTAGGTAAAAGCTAAATTACATAGCAAAGCTTAACTACACTTCTAATTTAGCACAATAAAATGTATAGTGCAGCACAAACAACATCAACATTTTGTTTTTGCTTGATGTCAAAAAAGTTTTGCTTGATAATATTGGCACAAATCTGATTCCATAACCTTCAGATTTCAAATGGTCACTTTTCTATTAATCTGATGCTATATAATAAGTTTTCTGATTGACATTTAAAGGTAGAGAGAGAATACTAAGCAAGGCTGGATTGGCCATCTGGCATACCGGACATTTTCCAGGTGGTATAACTGGTTCGTGAGTCGACAAATTTTTCATGGGGGAGGAACCCCCTTGGAGAAATTAATAATGACGGACCCAGAAGTACAGGGACAATTTTTAATCCCAGTCCAGCCCAGCACTGATTCGAATGCTAATTTTCATTTATGAACCTGGACAGTTGAACACAGGAGGAGAGCTCAGTTTTAAGTGTTTATCACCTTAAACACATAAAACAGTGAAGTAAAATAGGACTGAACCTCACTCAAAAAACCTACGTCATTTGCTTTGTCTCAAGTCCAGTTGATTTGATTCTTGGTACCACTAAATAGATAGGTTTCTATGTCATTTGTGTGACATATGCTTCCTTCATGCTATGTGTCATTTCCTTTTTGTTATGATGGTAAACAATGTTTGATTACATTTCCTTCAAAGGTTCTTGGGTTTGATACAGGAAGTTAGAATAAATTCTGGGGGGGATTGGGGGTCAATTGGTGAAGAGATCCAGAAGTAATAAGGTAGACTAGGCCGTTTTACTGTCCTTTAGAAAAAAAAAAAGCATTGAAGGTTCCCACCCAATGAGCCACCTTACCGCTGAGTACATTATCATCTTCAGTGGCTGATGTGACGCATCGGCTGCAACTGCTGAAATGTTCTTCAAAATTTGATCAAGCAGGACACCTAGGAAGCAACAAGTGACAATGAGGGCAAGAATCCACATTTGCACTGAAAGCCAAATCAAAGATGGCCTGTTGTTTGACTACTAAATCTTTGTAGGAGCCTGATTGTTCTTGTTTTAGGCATCCATGTCCAGTGTTTAAACATTCCTGTTTATTAATTTTTCTCTCCCAATCAGCATAGATTCTCTGATGATTTTATGCTGCTAATATCATACAGTGTGGTTTATGGTGCAGTTCTTGAGGCACAGTATCCATTGCAAAACAGCATTTTTATAAAAGTTAAACATCTACAGTCAGACCTTGGACATTTGCGAGATTCCAGAACCCGTCGCAAATGAGGAAGATTCGCGGATGTTTGGTAGAGTCACTAAAAATGGTAATACAGTGGTACCTTGGTTTACGAGCATAATTTGTTCCGGAAACATGCTTGTAATCTAAGGCACTCGTATATCAAAGCAAATTATTTCCCATTAGAAATAATGGAAACTCATATGATCCGTTCCACAACTCAAAAATATTCATATACAAATTATTAATACAAAATATAAAGTAAAAATACATAAAACAAATTAACCTGCGCTTTACCTTTGAAAAGAATCGTGGATGGTGTGAGGGAGACGAGAGAGGAGGGTTATTTTGTAGGACGACTTTCACTATAATTAACGGAATCACTGCTATATCTGTTGGCTCACTGGAATCATTTTCTGTTTGTGCGACTTTAACAAGGAACCCATCCAATGACAGCCTCTTTTGCCTGTGGACATTGCATTGTCGTTAAACAGATTCATCGCTCGCACTGCATGCGCTTCCTGTTTTGAAGCCGAGCGCACGTAAAAACAAGAAAAACAAGAAAAACAAGGAGCGCATGTGTGCCATATAATTTTTGATGATACTTGGCGTTCGTAAACCAGGACTTGCTCGGTTTCCAAGTCAAAATTTATTAAAAACCTTTGCTCGTCTTGCGGAACACTCATAAACCGCGTTACTCGTAATCCGAGGTTCCACTGTATGTGCTTCTTTCTATAGTTTTAAACCCTAAATATGACCCCAGTCATGCTCCCAAAACACTTTAATTTCATTTAAAAGTTAGCTTAATACATTACCTTCAAAAAAACAAAAACAAATGTTTGACGTAAAAATAGAGTACATGGATATTTGTCACACTAACACATTTATAGTACTGTATACTAATGTTACCCCTACTAATTCACAGAACACGGCATTGGCTGCCGTTTTCTTTGCATTCACAGTAAGGTAAAATGAGTAAACGAACGGAACTGTAAACTTATTGACAGAAGTCAAATACGTAACCAAGATACAATTCAATAAAATACCAAAATGTACTCTGCATACAGGGTAAAGGTATTCAACCAAATAAAAATGACATAAAGACGTACAGAAATAATAAGTTGTAAAAATACTATGTGTGCACTAACCACGAAAAAGAGAGCAAGAACAAAAATACATACACATTATTAAAAATATTTAATAAAAAACAGTAGAATGAAATTTTCACGGATCTGTGAATTCGCGAATCACGAAGCGAATGCACGAGAACTGACTGTATTGCATTTTTCTCAGCAGCTACAGAGTAGACTCCCTCTCATGTGATTACCTCCTTGAAGCCGACTCTTCTCCGTCCTATTATACATATCAAACATGATACTGAAGGCAAGGTCATTCAGTTCTTTAAGTTCGTCCATGACCTCTGGTGTTACCCATGGAGGATGTTTGAGGTTGTGTTTATCCTGAAAATAAAGAAGTAACCCATCAATGCACTTAGCGCTAAGCTTTAGGACTGCCCCCCCCCCCCCAAAAAAAAAGAATTACAAGTATAGCTCACACAGAAGGAAATTAAATGTTATGAAGGTCATACGATAGAAAGCCTTGAAACACCTCATTACTCACCTCACAGAACAATGTGTCATAGACACGCCATGCAGATTCTATGGTGACCTGTTCCAAGCCAGTCTTGTTGCTCACCATTGCCAAAAAATCCTGACATGCAGAGATTGACGGTGTAAGACCTATGTAGTTCATGACAGGATTCCAGGTAACATGTGTTCATGATGAACTGTAGTACAATGAGACGGGGCACCTACTTCATAGGTATCGGTCATATTTTTATAGGCATCTGTTTCCCTGGTTTCATTCATTAAGCGCTCATACTTCCGGCAGTCATGCAGGGGGAATGAGAGCAGCTGTGAGAAAACATGAAGAACATTTCAGAGCGCAAACACCATCAGGTGTGTAGTTGCAATGCTGATTATTCTGTATATAAAGACCATTGTCACGGGAGGCTTCTGTCAATAGGACATCAACAGGATGACAAGAACAGCAAACCCGAATTGCTCTATAGTTGATTTTTTTTTTACATTAAAGCAGAATTCTCACCACAGTACTTATGACCAGCCTATCTGGTTAATAAGATTTCTCTCATGATGGTAAAAGTTATACAAAGTGCTAAGAAACTGCAAACTACTCTAAGCTCAACATCAAACATAGTTTATTGTACAACAGATCACTGCATTTTGATCTAAAATACTGTTTGAATTTACCCCATAAAATGTTTCCTGCTTGCATGTCGGTTCCTGACAGAGTGTGCATGTGTCATGAATCAAGTGACCGCGAGTTCTCTCACAAGAGTTATTTATAAATGTCTGCCTCCCCGTCCTCCATAGGCTCACATCCATGTGGATTTTAACACTACTGACCACCTGCACTTTCACAAATTCCTCACCAGTCTCCATCCAAATTGGCAACATGTGCCTTATGAGAATAATTTCGCTTTGTGTTTGTGTTGCTCGTTTCCACTTCCCCCCGTTCTCCTTTTTTGCCGAGAAGGGACACTGTTCCCTGTCACCATAATCTGCGCCTCAGTCTAACCAGCCTTCCCACAGAGCGCTAGACAACATAACCTATTATAGGAAGTTGAGAGGCAACCATTACGCATTACAAGGCTAAACGTTATTGAACAGACCCTTTATCATTGTTGCTCAGCATCAACTGAACTTTCCACCAGAATTCCTCTCATTAATGCAGGAACATCTTCTGAAGCTCATGAAGTCAACATTGTTTGTGGACACAAAAGCAGCAGACCACGATTTTCACCTCCTGCTGTCATCCAGGGCAACATACAGTATTCAGTTTACCCACAAACTGTCAAAGCTCTTGTCAACAGATACAGCAGCACGACATGAAGCAAAATCCCTCCTGAGGGAAATTGCTACATAACTAATAAGCCGTCCGAACCCCTGAGAGACATACAAACCCTCTCTTCTGCCTGTGGTACTGTATGGACAGGGATGGGCTGCCAGGCAAGACTGGCGTTGAAGATTTGAGCCCCCTCAGGTGGGTACAGGCCGGCCAGGTGTGCCTCTGCACTCATCAGAGTCCGGTCATAATCTGTACTCCGCACCATGACCTACAGCACAAACGCAGAGAAAAATGATAAGTACTTGGTTTCTTCTAGGTGAGCAAAAAAGGGTCATAATTAATCCCTGTTGTAACTGACTGTATAACAACGCCTGCAATTCATTATTTAAAAAGCATTACAGTAGTTATTCTGTATGTCAGTCTCAGTGCCTGCTTTGGCAGCTTCTCTGATGACTTGGAAAGCACTTATTCTGTCAGGAAAATCCGTAAATTGGTGATTTTCAAATTATTGTGCTGTAGCTGAATAATACATGGGATGTCAAACACTAATTGTGCATGGCCAATAGTTTAGGAAATCCGTTTAAATCACTTTTTTTTGTTTCAAACGAGGGGTGGCACGGTGGTGCAGTGGTTAACACTGTTGCCTCACACCTCTGGAACCTGGGTTTGAGTCTCTACCAGGGTTCCACATGTGTAGAATTTGCATTTTCTCGCTGTATTGTGAGGTTCCCTCCAGTTTCCATCCACAGTCCAAAAATGCTGAGGCTAATTGGAGTTACTAAATTGGCCATAAGAGTGCGTGTGTGAGTGAATGGTGTGTGACTGTGCCCTGCAATGGGTTGGTTCCCTGCCTTGCACCTGTATAATTAAAGTAAACATAAAAAGTAAAAGAAAATATGACCTCATGCCGATTGTATGCAGCATTTAGAAAACCATCGTAGCGCCGTCTGAGCCTCTGTCCCAACTGATAGTGCTGCCTCATTCCTTCCTGTGGACATGAGAAATGTTACCAAATACAAGACACTTTTATAATACCAAAAATATAAATCTTAAACCAATTCACAGCTACTTTACAGCAACCTAAAATACCTGCGTTAGTTGTTCAAAGCCTTGAGGCCAGGCGCTCTCCTGGTGGGGGTCAGTGGGGAAGGCTCCGACTGGTGAGCGATCGCCATGCCGATACAACTAGAGAAAACACAGATCCCATGGGCAGGTCATTTAAATGACACTTTATTGTCCCTTTCAAACCCAGCCCTGTGACACCAAAATCCCCTCCAACCCCGCATTTAAAAAAATGATGCTGTCATTCCAAAAGAGACTTTCAGTCATATTTATTATAGTGCAAGATCAAAAGCTGTGGTTTCTGTGCTCTTTAAGTGATGACTCTCTTATCTGAGAAAATATAAAAATGTCAAGAACAATTTACAAAAACACAGTTCAGGCATAGTCACCAAGACTGTGAATTACCAGGTTATCAGCAGAAGCACTAACCCTCTGAAGACTGAGAGACTGAGGCCCCACGTCTGAACGTCTGTCCCTTTGAGTGACCAACTGATAAACAATACACTTTCAGCTACTTTAGGTTTTACAAACTATTTAAAATTTAAAGGCTTCTGTGCTTGGCTAAGTAGTTTGGTCGACAGCAGGAACTCCGTGCTTAAGTGAAATCCAGGTGCATTTAATTGAAATGGTAGTTTGCATACCCTGTCCTATCTCATAGCGACCTTCCTGTCATGGAGTAGGTGGTCACCCTAAGGACAGGGTACAGTATAAGCACACAGCTCGGTTTATTTTAGCCTGTTAGCGACGCATAGTAACCAGGAGCTCAGCTGTCGTCCGGGTTCATCCAAAACGCGGTGACACAAGAAGCGAAACCGCGGAGATAAGATGGCTTACCACGGTGACAAACACCCGAGTCCTCTCTCCGGCCGCCGCATCTGAAATAATAACTATTATCAATAATTTCTGCAAAAAGACAAGAGTCGTAAGGGAGGCACGGAGAGACGGTATCCTCAGCTCCATTACGGCACAAAAGAATAGAAACTGAAAGTTCAGGTTTTGATGTTGAACTTTAAAAAAAAAAAGCATTTTATTATTCTAACTATATTATTCTAACTAAAATAAGTGTTTGAAAGGTTTTTTTTTGGTTTTTATTTCAGATATATTTTGATATTTGAGGTCTAATTTTTTCAATTGCATTTTTTTTTTCAAATTCAGATTTTTATTTAATTTTTTCGGTTTTCGGTATCGTTTTTTCCCCACTTTCAGATCTATTTTTCACTTCCAGGTCGTATTTTTGCGGTTTCAAAGTTTTGGCACTGATTTGGCGTAGGGGCGTTATATGACATTTGTGCCAGTATTATCAAACAAAACTTAAACATCAAGCAACAAGACTATGAGAGAAAATCAACTCACTGAAGAAAAAAAAAACTGAAAGGTAAAAAAAAATGTATAACTAGCAAACTTATTATTATTGGTCTTTTGTTTTTTGTAATAATATCCTTTTGTTTACAATTACAGCTTTGCACTGCCTCCCTTTTGCTTTTGCGTGATTTTTCCTGCATGATTTTTCCTTGCAGTTTTGGACAAGTTCTCTCACGTGGGCGGGTTTTCACTGGTGCGTTCCCATTGGACAATCAGTTTTTGAGTGACAGCTCAATCCCTCCGGCGTTGTGTAGTACAGTTTCGGCAGACGTCCTAAACAGTGGGACTGGGTATTTATTCGATTCTCGCAATATTAGTGACGTTTAAGTATTGATCATATATGTTTTGTCTTGTTAAGTGTAGGAGCGCTGCAATTCACGTACTCTCACTGTACCGCCTACAGGAAGCAAAGACCGTCGCCCGCCGTGTTGCTGCATTTCTCGTGTGGGCGAGTTAGTTCTGTCACTGCTCTTTTACCGTGTTCATCATGGTCGGTGTGCTGCAAAAACAGTGTTTGCAACAAAGGTAAAGGATTGTTTAGGATTCCAAAAAGTGGTATAAAAAAACGCGATCCCGAGAGGAGAGATTAAGTTTTATCTAGTGAGCACAAAAAGCGATGTTTGCGCAGGACATCTCAAGAGCGGACCTCATTGACAGTGATCCAACATAGCCAGTAGTGATGTGGTTATCCGTTCCTTTTGAGTAATCGTTACCACCTAGTACTCGGCAGTCCAGTATTCGTTACGTAATACTCGTTACCCAATACTCGTTACTACAATGAACTAAAGACGTACGCATATCTTATGTCGTTAGAACGGCGATGGGCGACTAATTACCCGGCCAGTCAGTGCAGTGACCCAGCCCCCCCATCAGACTCGTATGTGGGTCATACAACATGCAGGCAATGAGCGCAGGCTTCAGATAATGGAAACCAGCTGCAAGTGCATGCCAGCCAGAACTGTGGCAAATAAGTCTGCATGGCGAGTGCCGATTGGCCGGTTTGATCAGGCCTTTCATTACTGTCAGCAACGAATCCTTGAACGGCTGAATACTCGTAACTATTCGTTACAGCCTGGTATTCGTTACTTACTTACTCGTTACTACTCAAATCTACACCAATGATAAGAATAACACTAAAATGATTAGTGTATCTATGCTTGAGCCTTTGAACATCAGCTTGGTTTTTGTTAGCGTGCTACCGCATCTCAGGATCCCCATTCTGTTCATGTTTGTATCGACGGATGTAGCCCGAGCATAAATACAAGTAATTTTATGCCTTTTGCGGTACTTCATTTATAAGCTGATGTCATAAAATTCTTTGGTTTTAAAAGTATTACGTGGAAAAATATTAAAGCCATTCTTATTCTTGCACGTTGGGCAAACCAGTCGCTATGTATGACAGAGGCAACATTGACTGGCACCACAGCACAACACAGCAGCGGGAAGAGTCTGCCGACCTCACAGGTGTCCAGAGAGGAACACAATAAGAAACGGGCACTCGAGGCGATTCCTTCAGCCAAATGAAAGCCACCCATCTGGGGATGCTTGTACTGACACCATGGAGATCTCGCTGACAAATGAAACAAGTACTTTAACAAGTACGTCAAGTATCCTGCCCTGAAGTTACTGTAAGTGGTAGGGTTTGGTTTTGTCTTACACTATAAATTGATTTCATTTTCTGTTCTCCCACTCTAGCATCTGATGCCATGGATCTGATGCAAATGTTCCTCCCTATCCAACGTTTTCCCCATGCGTCAAATGCAGGGCTAGTGTAGCTGAGGGGGATCGTGGTCCTCAGAATGGTGCTGTACTGCATCACAATATGATGCTCTTTTTGTGTCAAAATATCAGTCACATGGCGTAATCCCTGACTTACAAATAACCATTTAAATGTCTTTGCTGTTTCAGGGTCTTAGGATGTCATCTCCACTCCAGATGATCCTGAAACAGGGGTTGGAGGCCAATATGACTCTGTGTGATTTGTTAGTCAAGGAATCATGCATCAGGTTGATGATGTGTGAGCTAGGCAGTCTCGTTGAAACAATAAACAGTTGCAGGGGAGGGGACTGGTCCCTAAGGGACAAAGATTGTGCAATATGGAGAGTGGAACAGTAAATATATTCAGCATGCATAAGTTTGTGTAGGTCAGGCAAAGTGCAAAGACAACTGATAATACTGCAAACATGTAAATAGTACACAGAAGTGTCTGAACTTGTGTGAACATCTTTCTTGGCAAGAAACCAGGTTCTTGTGGGAGTAATGGAGGCTCTCTGGGAGTGCTTGACCTAGCACAACAGCAAATAAATCCATCTGCACTTTACCTATAGAACACTGACTTAAGTGCAATCAAGCTAGATTTCTTGTAATAACAACGAAAACTTGCACAGCACTGTAACATTAACATTACAGCAACCTTACCATTTCATGACGAAATTAAGATAGAGATAACATACAAAAATAAATTATGAATAATAAGCAAGGTGTTTATATTTGTACTTGTGAATACATCAAAATATTTCGTCCACACTTTTTATGCTTCAGTTTTTGTACCCAGCCAGAAACAAAGAAATTATGGGCCTTCAGACTTTTAGTCACATATTCGTTTAGTTGTTTGCTTAAGTCACCCATGACCAGATAAATCTGGATATCCTCATAACTTAAGTTTTTCACTTTCAATGTGTATGAGTCACATCCAATAATATCAGTTTTCTCTTTATATATATTGCTTGCAACTGGTAAAAGCTGATACACATACGCAGAATTCTCCATCACTACGACTAATAAATGCACCAGGATGGCAACTAGAGGCGGAGTGAGGCGATGTTTCTCAAGCAAGAAATCTATGCATGATTGTCAAAATGTAACTATATGTTCTTTTAAAATATGTACTTATTTTATTGTATTAAATGATGGGTCAGTTTCTTTTCCAAAGAAATAAATGTCCTTAAATGAAGCTTGTGACTTTTTTTGTTTTTAAATTGCTATTGCTAACTGTCTAATCTAACTCCCCCTATCATACATGATACGGTAACTGCCAGTGCTCCGGCCAGGTCAATGCTCAACTCAATGCAAAAACCAGACACTGCTATGGGCCCCCCCCCCCCCCCAACCTTCATCAAGATTCATTAATCAATACATTAACATTGACATTTGAAATCCCTCCTTTTGTCACTTTCTGTCTGCTGCATCATGGTCCTGGAAGAATGTTGTCTGATGTTACCTTAGGCCTACTTGTATATAGCTGGATTGACGATAAACTCCACTGGAATAGATGGCTGGAAGTGAAACTTCAGTTATAAAATACAAAATACACTTTTTTAAAATGAAACAAGTATGTAATCATATATATATATATATATATATATATATATATATATATATATATATATATATATATATANATGCACTTCTTTGTCTTTAAAACACACTCAGAGGTCCTTGAAATGGGATGAAGACTCGGAATCATTCAATGGTCCCAGAATGGGCAGAAGCCCTGGAACATGCCAGCAAAAATGGTATTTGTACATGTGGGGGCCCAGGCTGAGCTTTTATCAGGGGGGCTGGATTCCATATAAGATAAGGTATATAGTTGCTTTTTTATTGACTTGTTTTGTTAGCATTCAGACAAGCTATCAAGAAGAATGCAAAATGTATGTGGGTGATACAGTTTGCTATTCTGCTAAGAGACAACTAAGGTATGATCACAATGAACTAACAGCAGTAGAGCACTAAGTTCACTCTCATGATAGCTGTGACCAAAACGGCCTATCTATGTTTGTCATTGGTAGATCAGAGTGCAAAGGTTTGCCTTTTGGTGCAGGAAGCATAACTGGGAGATCAGCAAGACAAAGGAGCTGGTGGTGGACTTCCAGTGTAACTGAGACCAGTCATCATCCAGGGGGAGGAAGAGGAGGCGGCGCAGGGCTGCAAGTACCTGGGAGGTCCACCTGAACAGCAGACTGGGCTGGGCAGACAAGACAGCGGTGCTGTACGAGAAAGGCCAGGGAGGGCTCTACCTTCTGCGGAGGCTCAGGTCTCTTAACGCTGCAGTGCATGTTTTACCAGTTAGTAGTGGTCAGTGTGCTTTCTCATGCTGTGGCCTGCTGGGGAACTGGCCCCAGTTCAGGCTGTGTCACAACATCTGAACAAACTCATCAGGAAGGCCAGCTCCATCAGAGGAGGGACCCTGGACACACTGGAGGTTATACATAGAAGAGGATGTTGCCAAAACTGGTCACTATTATGAACAATTCTGCTCACCCACTTCAGGGGGCGCTATTCTGGAGCACATTTATCCACTTGCTCATTCCACCACTCTGGGCTAAAAAGCACTACTGGGGATCATTCCTGCCTGCTGCCTCCTCACATGCCCCAACCCCCAGCCAGAACATGTCAGGATATACAGTAACATGCCCATCATGTACAGTAGTTTAGTACTATTGCACATATTTCACTGCTAGTTTGTTATTCTTATCTTTCAACATTTATTTTTGTAGCATCACAATATTCTTTTTCTTCAGGATATTTTATTTGTGCACTGTGTGCTCTATAAATTTGTGTGCATCATATTTACTTGTCCACACTGAGTGCACTGTCTATGCACCTTGTTTGTTTGACAGTATATGTATGTTTCATCTGTGCACTAGATTCTCGTTACTCGATGCATAAAAGTTTCCTCCTGGGATTAGTCCATCTTAATCTTAAGGTTTTAGCCTTGCCGGTTGCCGATACTTGAAATATAATTGAATTTTGCAGTTATAACCCGTTTAGGCAAGTAAAATCTAAATGCATGCACAACGTAACACAACACATTAAGTATAAACGTATCACAACAATTTTCAATATTACTGACCTTGAATGACATCTTAAATCGGCTATATTGCACTCTAAAACCTAATGTGTTAATTAACAACACTTTTGTGTTATCACTTCTCAGTATTTAGTGTGATATAATCTTAAATATGTGTTAAAATGAAAAAGACGTGTTAACACATGATGTATTAAATAATTGTCCAATCACACTGCAGAGTGCAAGTTAGTGGTCATTGTTCACCCAGTAACTCACAATCACATCAAAATTGTTTTCTATATTGATTGTTTATGCCATTGAGGATCAGATGAATCTCAGGTAACTAAGCTCTAACCTTTCATAAATAATACTGTTTTCTTTCCATCAATGGAATATAGTCTGGGCAGGCGTCAGAACTGGAATCTCTTTGTTTGGACCATGGAGTCGACCCTAGAAAGCTCACAGCTAACAGAGAAAACAGAAGAGTCATTAATGCCTGAATTGAACTGTTCCCTGCACACCTGTTCATGCGTCACAAGTGTCGCCCTAGTCTTGATATTCATAGCAAACTTTATCTTGATATCCCTCCGTCATTTCAATGCCAGAATGCTAATTGTTTACTGTATACTTTGGCTAAGGACTTCAAAGAATTAGTCCCAGTGGGAATGGTATTTAGCAGCATGGTGGCAGCCCCCCTGTCTGTGTGCATGTGTGTGTGTGGGGGGGGCGGTTAGCTTGCTCTGCCTGTTGTGCGGGTTTCTCTGGGCTCTCTAGTTTCAGCTAATTGCAAACAGGCTAATAAGTGGATCTAAACTGCCTATGATGTGTGTGCCCCCCCCATTAGACTATTGTGCTACCCAGGGTGTCCCCCCCCCCATATCCAATTACCCTACGGCTGGGACTGTAGCGCAGAAGTCACTGTTAGTAACTCTTTGTTAAATCACAGTTTGTCTTTGAGGGTGAGTAGATGTGATCCATCCGCACACTATTAGTGCGACAGGTGTGTTTTTATACTTATTTCTTTCTTTGCTTCCTCAGCCCCACTACTCTTGTTACAGACACTACTGCATATAAATACATATGTCACAGAGTCTGGAGGGGGACAAATATATGACATTATCAACAGGCAGTTGTGTGCAATTTGCCTGAAATCTGAAAAAAAAAATAAAAATTGCAATGTATTTAATAGGACAGTAAATTAATATAATTTAACAATGAATGCCACTGAATATAGGAATGGCTGACTACTATTATTTTTATTTTTTTTTACTTTTCCGGATTGTTGTATATGCTGTATATGTTGGCATATTTTCCAGCTTGTTTTATCCTGGCTTTAAAATGAGCTGCATTTTACTTCCAACATTGTCCTCTTGGTGGCAGTAAAGTACAGATAGATAGAGAAGCAGTGAAAGGTTTCTCAAATAGAACATGTGCAGCAGAGGGATGAAATCCTCCCAAAGATTTTTTTATTTCATAGTAATCCTTAATAAATGCGATTCAGAATGTACAATATAGCCCACACACCATGAGTTGACATTAAGATCGTATTTTACTTGTAATTATATGTACTTCGTAGGGCCTCAATTAGCCTCGGTTTCAATGGTAACATTGGGCTGTGTGTAGACTGTCCAGACATTCCCTGTATGGTACAAAGGCAAACCCCTCCTCTGGACAGGACGCCCTTACAACACTGACACAGTGCGTGTTTCTTCCCGACGGAGTGAATGTTTTTAAAAGAAAAATCTGATGGCCTATTTTGATTATCAAAACACTGCCCACTCGTCAAGCTATAAGAAGCTTTTTTTAATTTAAAATGTCACTTTCTGATTAAGTTTCATCACAACAGTACATGTGCTTAGAACAATTGGGCTCTTCTGTGTTTACTGTGATAATTACTGATCTTGTCAAGAGGAGTGTCTGTCCTTTGAAGAATGAGCTTCTGTACTGAGGTAACAATGTGAAAGCTCTCTGCAGGCCTTTGTGAGGGATCTTCTAAACTTCTATCAAATAAATAAATAAATGACACTGTTTATCGCTTGAATATTTTCTTTTTAACTGTCTAATTTTTAGTGAATCTTTGCATCATGCCAAAAACACCTGCATACAGTACATAAACAAGAACAAAAATATTTCAATGAGTTTGCATGTGTGTGGCAAAAATAAAAAAAATTACTGATAATCCTGATAAAATGTCTTTTAAGAGTAAACTTCAGTTATACATCTCAGAGATTTTTTAAACCATCAATATCAATACATTTTCATATATTTGTACAAAATGTATTCAAGGTTTTGTTTTAAAAAACACGCTTAAAACAGCAAATCTGAGCATTTTTAGAAAAGAACACCCAGTGGCTCTGGAATCGTTACCCTTGTTACAGTCAAAATAAGGATCACGTGCATTATGAACTTTATCTCTACTGTTCATATTACGAACATTATTTTAATTGTATATCTGTGTGCTTTATTTTCAGAGCCTCTTTCCCAATTCCTTTTCTCTTTTTGTGGTTGAATGTATTACTTTAATTTTTAAGGGTGTAGGGAAAGGGAAACAAATTTGTGAAAGCCTCATCGTAGCTCATTAGCCCAATAAAGGTGTTTACTTACTGTAAACGAGTTCCCCTGCTTTCTGATTATCCTATTCATCCCCTGTTCCCAACATGTACCCTTGTAAACAAAATATCCATTATGCTTTAATTTAAATGCCACAAAATATGCTGTCATACATAAATTAGATGCATATTTCAAACCTTTGTTCTTCCTTATGTCTGTTAGGTCACATCACAAGCAACTTTATTGCTTGTCTCCATTACAAAAACAGGAGAAAAGTGATCCTATTCCTGTAAATATTTCTATCCGGGGTACTAAATCCTGTTTGTATGAAACTTCGTTTCTGTGATTTGATGGAAAAGTCCTGATGATGGAACAACACTAGTATTGGTTTAGAATAGGCATGTATCCATTCGTCTTCAGGAACTGCTTACTAAGTACCAGGATACAGTAAAATATGGTAATTCTGAAGCCATACTGATGACACTAACACTAAGTATAAAGCTGTTTTTGTTATGGCTGCCATACTTACTGCCCTTCTCTACAGCAGAGGACGAAAAGCCACCGCAGTCACTAATACAGATTGCTCAAATTTTGTGGCCCACTCTGTGTGGCGG